AACAAATCACATTGATTTTAAATGGACATCAGCATGAAATAATTATGCTGATGCCTTTGAGTTCCAATGTTAAAATCTTTTTAATTTTTATTTCTCTTAAAGTGAGACAGGATTTGTCAAACATTGCTGGTCATCACTATATGCCATTTTTTCCCTTTTTTGAATTTACCAATGTGATACATGTTAAAACTGCAAAAACTGCTCTGAAGAACTGTGGAACTTCAGTCAAGATCGGATGTAAATTTTCTCAAGCTGTTTTTCAAACTCCATTTTCCCATTAAAACCTGATTTTCAGACTCTTATGGCTTTCTCAACCAAACAAAACACCAAAAAAAAAAAAAAAAGAATGCATGTGTGGGCTGGAAAGCCTGCTTGCTCGGTCTCTCCAAATGCTGAATCTTCTATCAGAAGATTTCAGCCAGCAATTTCAGAGTGTAAAAACTCAACTTAGAGTCGATGGGGTTCTAGTCACATTCTTTTTAGTCACAGCTAAAACAAAATATATGTATTAAATAATTTTTAATTATTTTTAAATAAGCTATGCTTTTTTTCTGATTTGGAGGTAAAAAAAGCTTTAAAAAAATTACTTTTGCAAATTAAAAATTGTTTGAAAAAATCCTCCAGTGCTTGCTCTTAAATTGTTCTGTTATCCTTGTTGAAATGGCAATGAATCTGTCCATCATAGTTTGGAAAAGGCTTGACATGCTTAGTAGTTCTTTAAAAAAAAGGACAAACAAAAAAACCATAATGTGTTGCAAAGGCTTGAATAAAGAAAGAGATCCCAATCTCTTGGTTGGCAAGTTCCTAAATCATTAAACATGCAGTGCATATCTTAAAAAAAAAAAAAAAAATCTCAGCCAGCTCCAGTTCGAGGCTTTGGTGGTGCCATGGAGACAGCACTCTGCTCCTCACCCCAGGAAGGGTAAGTGAACTCGGAACCAGCAAGGGAAGAGGCCCTGGAGCCCAGCAGAGCTGGCTGAGCTCTGCATAGCAGAGGGGATGGGGAAGGTCCCAGCCCGCCCCGAGCTGACGGCCGCTGGGCAGGAGAGCTCCTGTAGCCACCACTGACCAAGGCCAGAAGAAACAGATTCTAGCAGCTGGCTCAGCCTCTGTGGAATTGGCACGGGAAGGCCAGGCTGCAGAGCCATCGCCCGACAGACCACCGTGCTCACAGCTGCACCTCCAAGTGGGCTCTGCAAGGGAAGGGCCCTCAGCCAGGACCAGCTCCGCAACCAAACACAAACCACACTCCCACTGGACCCCTCCAGTGCACCACTGGGAACATTTATTATCACAGATGAGTGCATAAAATGGCTAAAAACCTGTGAGTTAGCTGAAATTTCAGAAATGATGCATCTAATGCTTTCCATTTTCTGAAGCAGAAAAACTATCAGCTGCATAGTCATGAACATTTCAAAATTCCTTGAGATGCAATTTTGAATAAAATCTCCCTCCACACACACAACAGAGGGGAAATTTTTTTAAGTCAATAATTGTAGCCAACTTTAATGAAAGCCCCTAAATTAATATTCTTGGTGAAATGAAGGACAAAGCAAATAATTTAAGAAAAGGTATTTCAGTATCAGGCTTATAAATTTCAGTGAGAAAAGAAATTTGTGTTTAAAGACTCGAAAAAACACTTTGATAGCATATTTCATGTCTGTCATCACTGGTTACTTTTTCTACAGCTCTTCCCTGTCTGGAAATATTTTAAGCTCATGTTTTAACTGCACCCTTAGGAACAAAAAGTTACTTTTATTTTTCCCCTCTAATGTTGTTCTTATTCTTTAAGAGGACGGATTTTCTCTCTCTGATTGTAACAAAACCACATCTGCCACATATAGGCAGCATCTTCTCAGCTCTCTTTTACTGTTATTACCATTTCTGAACAGATTTTTGTGTGTTAATTATAGAACTCAATTGTTTGGATAGCCTCTTTTGATGAGCTTTCTGCCCCGCACCATGAAC